AAGGTAATGCTCGAGTGCATCAGTGATTTTTATTAATTGGAGTCCATTAATTTTCCTACCTTGCCATCTTTGAATACTTAGAATGGACACATTATTTAAAATTGAATAGGAAATACCATGATAACTTAATTTGAGTCTTCTACTTGAATGCCACCTAAAATTCCCTGACTAGGAATCTAGTGAACTAGTAAACCATGATGATAGGTTTGTCATTCATGTCATTGGAAAACATATTCTTGTCACTCGTGCTCTCTTATATTGAATCCTTCAAATTTATACCTGACAAAATGATCTCTATTATGTTTTTGATGATGGTATCCTTCGTTCTACTTATTCGAGGTTATGATATTTTGATTAAGTCTTACATCTTACCATTACCCACACCGTCTACCCAAAATGACCTTTAGTTCCTTTTTCATATCAAATTCAACCACCACATTGATCTTGCCAAATTTGTCATGGATGATACCATACAAAGGGGCATCAAAAACCTGTTTTATGGCATGTTGATCAGTGAGATTATTGACTACTTCACTATTAACACCCACTATGATCCACCCAAAACCTTTACCTTATTTAATCCTATCAAGGAGCACAACATTAAAAAGCTGGGTGTTAAGTTCAAAAACAACACTTGGGTAAGAAAGGGGACAGTCAATATTTCGATCTTTGATGACGAGGGTCATAAGGGAAATAAAGGGAAAAAGGGTGCGTTAAGCGTATATCCTAGTGGCCCATCTATTGCCTAATGTAGTACACCTATGTCCACCACCTTTGATGTTAAGCACGCCTTCACTAGACTTCTCTCTTATATGAAAGCAATGGACTCTAGGTTGACCGCATGCATGGATGTCTTAAAAATGTTAAATAATGAGTTATTATAGCACCAGTAAGACTTGCAAGCTAAGTTTTGTTCTCAATTTCCACCACCACTAAGGTGTGTTCTCATAAGAGACATCTCTTCGCCTCAATTTTGGACTACTTCGTTGGATAACTGCATGTGCATCTCATTTTCATGCATCATGTAATTTTGGATATACTTCGTTTTCTTTTCAAATGTATATTCACAGCATCTATCGATAGATAGTCAACCATGAACAGTGTAAAAGGACCCTGACTTGAATCTATTAGTAGATACACAATATCTATCAATAGACAACCACCCGAAGATAGTTTAAAAGGTCCTTTATATGCATCTATCATCTATCGATAAATGCGTAACATCTATTGATAGATAGTCACCCAAGGATACTTCAAAATGATCTTGAGTTGAATCTATCGATAGATGGGTGCAAATTTAAAAATTTTTCAAGGCAATTTATTGATAAATGGTTATCATTGTAGCTTGAAAGAATGTGTTGAATGGTTATTTTCACATTTAATGTACTCTCAACCACCTCTAAAGCTTTAACAACTATAAATTCAAGGTCCCACCACATTTATGAAGGTTGAAAGACTTTAAAACAAAACTGCAAGAAAAGATTTCAGCTTAAATCATGTATTACTCTTTGTACACCTGCTTTGGCATTTAAATCTACTATTGTACCATTTATTGAGCCTTCATTACTTATTCTTTTCTTCACCAAACATTGTACTTAACTTGCTATTCAGCCTTCAAAAGGCATTCTAGGTACATTTAAATTTCTTTCATTGTATTCACTTAAATAGTTATACCTTAACCAATAGAAATGGTAGTATTTAAGTGGTTATATCTTAACCAAGATAAAAAATAGAGTGGTTGTGCTTTAACCATAAAAAGGCATTGTATTGAATGGTTGTGCTTGATGTATAAAAAGTATTGTATCAAATCTTTTTCTAATAATGGATTTTAAACTACTTAATGAATCTAAAAGAAAGGACGTAGGCAATGAGGTGGAAACTTTATATAAATTATTGTGTTGATTTTTCTTTTTCATTTCTTCAATGTCATTTTTGTTTCTAACTTCTCTTATTTGATAGGAAATCAATTATCTTTATTATTCATAAAGGGGATTTTACTTGAAGAAATTTTATTTTCTTGAAATTTAAAGGAAATTCTTCAAAATATTTACAATGGTTCAATTCACCCCCCTTTTGGAACTATACTTATTAAGCTTATTGCACAAACACACACGTTGCCCACGCAAGGTTCAAGTTGAAAGCATTCTTAAAGAATAAGTGATAAGTCAATTTAGTTGATAAATCAATCTTTGGTGTGGTGGTGAATTTACAATAATTCACTAGGAGTTAATAATCCAGAATCTTGGAAAGAAAAGATATGATTTCTAATCTATTATGATTCTTGAACTTTAGATGTGATTAAATCAATTTGCTTGATGCATGATGTGTAGTTTTGCTTGTGTATTTGGATTGCTTGCTTCTGTAATTAAAAATATTTTTGAAATCCATCGTTTACACAAACACATGCATGCACAAAGATCCACTCCCAACACAATCAAAGATTATATCAAACCTTCAAAAAGTTGTCGCTTCTTTATGATTGCTCTAAGTGAATATACTACTATCACATACCATTTTTGGGACATAACCAGCACATTGGCCTACGTGGGTATGACCCATTAGGCCAAAATAAGCCTTTCAATCAACAAATGTTGGCTTGTCAAATACCACATTTATATAGTATAAATACAGTATAATATATTCACAAACAATGAGCACCATCACACAATTATGAAATTTCTCAACATAAAGTGTGGAATTGTTTTCATTAATATTAATATTCATATAACACATTAATTCTGTGGTCCAACACAAATCCTATGCCATTAGCATATATGGTCTTTTCACCACAAGTATTGATAAATCTATTTTATAGAGTTATCTTGCACTTTGTTAAGCTGAAAAAGAAAGAAATCCTTTAGCTTATTTTCACTATAAAAATCCCTTTTTTATGCTCTATTGATTTAGTCAATTGTTATTCAAGATGTGCAAGCAAGTGGGGTTCAAATGGCAAAGAACCGTGCAAAGATGCTTCAGGAGATTTCTGACTATGCTATAGTAATTTGAGCATAACTCGAGCTATAGAAGTTCGATTGATGAGATTCTTCGACCATTGATAAATGAGTCATACTTTGGTATCAGTTAGCAGTGAGGTTATTCATAATATTTACTTTATCTTTTACTTGTAATTGATTTGTACATGTTGTACTCTCATCAAAGAAATAATCATAACAACGTTAACAAGGATGGAGATATCCAACTTTTGTCGAGAGGCAAAGACGAAGAAGAATGAAAGCTAAAAAATTTTAAAATTAATATGTCAAACTTAACCAACCATTTTTTTAGAATTGAGTATGGACATTTTGATTCACATTGTTCTTGTTCATGAGTTGAAACATTGAGGCTTGGTGGCTCAACTGTAGAAAAACTATTAGAACAATTTATATCTTTTTCTTTTAAAGACTTTGTCAATGGTTTTCAACTTACTAATACTTTAATTAAACCTAAAAAAAATTAATACAGTCAATATCTAATATTTTTATTTTATTTCTATTTAAACTTAAAATACTAAATATATAATTATAATGCATAAAATATAAAAAGTTAAATATACTATACACGTTTTCACACAATGGTTAAATATATAAATAGTTAAATAATATAAATAGAAAGAAAAAGAATAAAAAGAATTTTATCAGCTCTTAATTTCACACAGTGGTGGTAAGTTGTCTCATCCTTCCTTATCTAAGCTCACAAGCTCATAAATTTCTTTTGAAAAATAAAGTGTGTTTCAGTGTTGAGTTACAAAGAAGAAAGTAAAGTTAAAATAAAAAAACAAAAGAGAATAGAAAAAGAAAAAGAAAGAGAGAAAGAGGTGGGAAACTTAAAACTTAGGATAAAATTGAGTACCACTTGTGGGGTCAATTTATTATTATTTTTATTTATATTAATCATTAAATAGAAAATTATTTTAAAGGGATCATTTAAAAATATATATATAATAAATAAAAAATATTTTAAAAAATATAAATAAAAATTAAAAAATTTTGAAAATATTTATGATAAATAAAAAATTTTAAAATTTTTGAGAATGCATAAAAACATTACCTTTCGTCTCTAAACATTAATTCTGTCAAAATAAAAAATAAAAAAGAGACTTGCACGTCTCGAATAATCTAATTATTAATATTGGGAATCATTATGATAAACCTAATATTAGATTTTAGATTTTCATGAAGTGATAAATTATGGGTCTAATAACCAGCCCAATAAAAGCCCAAGCAAAGATTAAAAACAAAAAGCCTGGATAACAAAAAGTAGGCACGAGTCAAATTAATAAAGATGGATCACTATTTAATTGTAGTATTATTTATCATAGTAATTTTTTTTATATAACCATTCTGCTATGTTCTATTTGGAAAGATTTTGAGCCCGAATTATTATACCTTATCATTAATATTAACCTAGAACAAAAGCAGTTATGGACTGATTTTTTTTTGTCAAAAAGTTAGTTGTCATAACTGAATTTCTTTTAATCCCCATGCATAATCATAACAATTATATGAGAAAGATAAACCAAACAAACAACTAAAATATAAAGTTGAGTTAAACTTACCTAAAATGAGACTTGGACCAAAATTTGAATGTTCCAGGACCTGTTCGTTGGTAGAAAACAAAAAGGCATTATTGGCACTCGGTATGCCTTGACTTTTATGACTTAATTTGTCTTCCTGGAAACGATTTCCTTCCGATTAAATCAAGAGAGGATACATGGACATGCCCAAGCCAAATCATCTTTGGATCAGTTAAAAGAACATTCGAAATTCCGAATAAAGAAAACTCGGAGCATAGACAAGAAAACACCGAGCCTATAATTTTGATGTTGAGAACAGTTGTCTTGGTCATGAACTTTAAGGATTAGCTGTCCAAAAGAAAATCTATTTGACAATCCCAAAGGAATTGTTTAGTGTAACGCTTGCAAATTAAGTATATATACAACCTAGCGGAAAGTCATAGCAGCACTGTTTAAGCATTTCGTTCGTTACTACCCTGCTTTTTCCGCCATGGCCTTGACCGCCAAGCAACAGCTTTTCCTAGCTCTAGCGCTTGCTTTCCCTTTTTTCCAAGTAGCAATATGTGGAGATCCAGATATCACCTCTGATTTTTTGGTTCCAGCTGGAACTAATGCTACTCAGTTGGATGGACAGTTTTTCACCTATACCGGCATGAGGCCACTCATTACCTCTGATCCACCAACAACTTTCACAGCAACAAAAGCAACCATGGCTGAATTCCCTGCCCTTAATGGACAAAGTGTTTCTTATGCTGTGTTGCAGTACCCTGCGGGTTCAGTCAACCCTCCGCACACCCATCCCCGAGCCGCGGAGCTTTTGTTTCTCACGTACGGGACCCTTGAAGTCGGGTTCGTTGACACTACTAACAAGCTCTTTACACAAAGACTTCAAGCTGGAGACATGTTTGTGTTTCCCAAGGGATTAGTCCACTATCAGTTCAACTATAATGAGAAAGACTTTGCGATTGCGATTTCCGCCTTTGGTAGTGCAGCTGCTGGCACTGTCTCGGTCCCTTCTGCCGTGTTCACAACAGGCATTGATGATGAGATCTTGGCAAAGTCTTTCAAAACCGATGATGCCACGATTCAAAAGCTCAAGGCAGGGCTTGCACCTAATGCCTGAGATGGGGATCCTGAACTATTAACGTTCCAAAATTTCTGATTTTTAATGTGTTGGTCTTATTTTGTGGCAAAAAGGGAATTTATCAGTTTCTTTGCACTGTTAAAGTGACTTAGTTATCTTAATAAATTGAACCATCAAGATGCATCAAAATATAATTGTGTTCCTTTGGCATTAAAGATTAATTTGTTATGAATTCTCAGTTTTTCTTTTCTTCAATTCTTAGTTTTCCGACAGTGCAGAAAATGCAATGGATGAAGATTATTGGAAAGAAAACCAAACAATGACTCCATGTGTATATTATAGAGCTAGAAACTTTCAGAAACAGCGGACCAGCATTTGCACTGCCAAAGGCAGAAACAACCATGGCAGGCTGATCAGGGCTAGGATATTTAATGCAAATAACCCCCATTTGGATTCAATAAAAATATCAAAAAAATCAAAATCTAAAAGATTCAAAATCTAATTTTTGATTTCAAGAACAAAATTGAAAAAGTTCAACTGAGATTATATTTATGGTTCTCATTTACTATAGCAAACGTACTTCAAAAATTATGAAAAAATTATTTTTGATCATTTAAAAATCAACAGAATCATTAATGCTTATTTTTATTTCCAAAAGATTGTTTTATTAAAATAATATATTTTAACCCCTTTTAGACTTAGAAAATTTTCTGTTTCAAATTAACAAACAATCAAAAGTGTCAATAAATCCTTTTGAAGGTTAAAACTAAATTTAATGTTCAAAATATGTAATGTATATGCTCACTTAAGAATTTTCTAACTTATCCTTTTACTCAATTTGAGATTTCACACTATGTCTCTCTAGCCCTGATGCTTGGGTATATTTAGAACCAACGTGTTCTATTCCTTTTTGAATTAGTTTCTTGAGTTTTGAATCAATCTCACTTAATCTCTCTTCAGATTTTCAATTTAATCTAGGATTAGGATTAATGCAAACATATTTTTATCTTTTTCATATTTATCTCTCCTTTTTGTTATTATTTTTTTAATTTTATATTTTCAAAATTCACTAGACACCTCGAACAAAATGAGGTGTCTACATGGCTTGTTGAGCAAACTCAAGATCATGACTAGAATGGATGGGATCCTAGCCCATTAAGAGAATCCTTGTAGAGATTTCTATAGGTGATATGGAGGGTTATCATCTTGATAAAATAGAGGGAAAACCTTCTAAGATAGTAAAACCTTATCTTAAATGGTGTATGCATGATAATTCAAATTTGCTTAATTTATTTATATTTTTTATTTACTATATACTGCCACAAATAACCATTTATCACTCAAAAATGCATAGAATATGAAAAGCAAACCCACTACAGCAAAGTGTTTTGAAAGGTACTAAAACTTTAGAAATGTTCTTAAGCAAAAGCTTGTCTATCTATAAAAAGCTTTGCCATAAGCCCATGTTGAGGTAAATGGTGATGAAACATGAGATGCTCATTAAACCCGTTGAGCCACATATATGATATTGGCTACTATAAGTACAAAGTTTCAAACGCAACATAAGAGCATGTATGGACGAAATGTGTGATTTTGCAATCAAAAGAATCGGTCTATAAGCAAGGTCGTACAGTAAGGTATGAGATAACATAGAAATTGTTTCTATGTGAGAAAACAGAACATAGTTTTGTTTCAACTCATGACTTAAGGTTGCTAGGCTTTATAGTAAAGCTAGAGCAATGTTGTAGTGAATAATGAACTAATTATCAGCTTTATTCCATAATCTATACCAAACACAATTCATAATTAAGAGTGAGCTTCCACGAGATGGAATTTTCATTGCCTTAATTTTGAATTGGGAAGACAACAATGATAAGGGCACTAACTTGGGAATTATTCTTAAGCATCTTTATAGCAAAGATGGATAAAAGAGGAACTAAAGATGTTTTCTTGACAAAGTTAAAGAAGAAGAAACTTATAAAAGTTTCAACTTTAACAAAGTTTATGATTTCAAAGTTTATGATTGAGTTATGAAATCCCTACCAATGTACCAACATCATTGGTTTTTGATACTAGATATTGGTTGCAATTATGTAATGACATAAGAGCACTAAACAATAGTAGTGAATTAATGCTCAATATAAGTGTTGAGAGAATTAATATTAGATAATCATGTTTGTTCGTAATTATAGCATTGAGGTCTTGGTCATTAAAGTAAGAATTAAAGTATGAAGATACTGATTTGCAATCACAAATAAACTAGTAATTCTTATCAATGTGAGCAAATCACTTTTAATGTCAAAGTGAACGACTTGGCATGTTAAAGGTTTTATACATGTAGATGTATATAAACCATTGAAGATAAAATGCTATTAGGAAATGTTCCTATTTCATTAAGTTTATACAAGAGCAAATTAAGATTTTATATTATATTCTTAACAAAATATAAATTTGAATTGTTTGAAATGTTCATAGAATTCCAATATAGGATCATGTGTAATATAGAGTACGAGATATTCTTACTTTGACGAAATCTTAATGAAGGCTACTTACACTTATAGTTAATTGATTATTGTAAGAAATGGATAAGATTCATTCAAAGATGGAACTCTCTATTTGAAGAAACATAGAGATGTTTATTCGAAGGAGGAAAGTGAATTCATATAAAGACATGATTTGTTCCATATTCCTTCAATGACCTTAACCCATTAAAACATTCCAAATCTGAAAAATGGATTTCAAATCAAAGTTGTAAGAAAGTCATCTATATTTGATATAGAATGAATTTGTGTTGCTTAAAACATTGACATACATACAAGGTGCATGGATGTAAGCTCATGGAATATTCAAAAATATATTTTGTTTGGATAGCACTCCCTTTAAGTGGAAAAAAGTTTCCTTGGTTCATCTAAGGATTAGTGGGAACATGATGATACTTGAAAAGAGTTTCAATCATCACAACTTACATTGAAATCTAAACCTTGGATTATGGCATAAAGATGCAGAATCAAAGCTCTTCAATGTATAAGAAGTCCAAAGATTTAGTAGGACACATTGTGAATGGGTTATTCATAGATGATGAGTCTACTGAATGTGACATTCTCATTAGAGTCATGCACTTTATTTTGATGTAAGAAATCAAAGGGTTTGATTTATTCACGATGAACAAGTGTTGTTTTCTTATACACATGAAAGGGTTAATAGGAGTAAATCAACTTCGTTAGTAATGAAATTCCATGAGATGTATTGCATACTAAAAGAAAATACAAACCTAAGCTAAATTCTTTTGAGGTTTAGCAACTTAAAGGGAACTTTTGGATGAGATGTTAAATGAGTTTAACACAGTTAAATCCAAAAAGGCAGTGGCGTATGCATAAGATGACAAGGAATGGTCATTTTGAATGGTTCCAAACTAGAGAAGGCTATGGATATATATGAAATGTAAGTCAAATACATCCTACTGAGAGAAGCAACAATAGGAACATGTTTGCATCATTAGTTCACTAAACTAATAAAAGGTTCCAATCGCGTAACAATGGATCCATTTAAAATGGAACCTAGGTCTCATTGGATCCAAACATAGTATTATGACTTCATAATAAGGATTATCAAAGATGAACAAAGAAAATACCCACAACATTTCCTATAAGCCTGTCATTGTAAAGACAAAGTCAGTAAAAGGATTGAATTCCTATAAGATATGATAGTGATGGGCTTTTTGCTAGTAGAAGATGTTAGGTATAAACTTGTAGCCAATCAGATTGCTCAAGGTTTATATCCTTAATCATACAACAAGATTACTTATAATAAGTGATCAAAGGTTTTCCTTCATTAATAAGCTATTGTACATAGGCCTATTGGATGAAGTCCAAGGAATTAACATGCCTTGCAAGGGAATTGTAAATTGTTAAAATTATAAGATCTTTATGCATCAAACCATAATTTTTAAATTATTCCTGATCGATGTATCATTAAGGCTAGACATCAATAATGCTTATAGACTAGCACATTTTATGTTCTTTACTAGTGAAGTAAGCAACCAATCTCATTGGTTGAAATATGGAGACAATTAGAGCTAGAATATCGGTGCTTGTTCTTGAAACACGTTCATTGAACATGACTTGCCATGATGATTCCATTTGGTATGTCACTTAAGTGTCTATAGAATATATCCTCATGTGGCAGTCGAGTAAATGATCCTCAAACTTGAGACACCATGTTGTTTTATAAAAAAATTGTTATACTTTGATATCATCCCTCCAGGTTTTAACCAAAGATGCCTAAATAAGATGCTGTAAGTATAGCATGAAACATATGAAGACAACTAAGTGGTCAAGAAAGGATTCACCACTCAAAGTGATTAAGGAGTTGTGTCTTGATTGATATTGCCCTAAATTAGCTTATGAAGTCTTTGTCTAAAGCAAGATGGATTTTGGAAATGAAATTTTCCATAGTCCATATTAGCTAATAAGTGATTGCAATAACTATTAAGGAAAAATCAAGGAGTAGACATTGTGCCATGCTTTTTGGATTTTTGAAACACTTGGTGAAGGGATTGAATTGCATTGAAAGATTGATCACTAAAAAGTTGGGTCAAACCATCTTGATTCTTTTAACAATTAGGTGGCCATGATGGATTACTATATCCTGTACTTGGTCTATGAATTTTAAATAGTTAATTTGATTAATAATAAAGTCAAAGAAATTTGAATTTATCTAATCCTAAGTTCAACTTAAGGTTTATATCTTAAGTTCATAGCTAACATGTTGGAAGCCTAATAGATCACACACTTAAAATGAATACTAAAAATAAGATGGGAGAAGTGATTAAGTTGGACTTAATTAAATTAAAAATTATAAGCTCCTTAAGGACTTAATTAAATAATTTAATTAAGTTATTGGGTTAATTAGTAGTCACATAAAAGTTATGTAATTAACTTAATTAGAGCTTAAATTAATCCAAGGTATAAATACCTTGCTATAGCCACTTAACACAAGGAAGCTTATGATGGGTTTGGCTATGGACGGCATGCTCAAAA